GCAAAATTTATGGAAATCAAACTGGTTTTGACACAGGAGCCCTAACAAATAGAAATTTCCATTCCTAAGTGCATATAAATCATGGGTTCTGACACTCCGCCTTCGACTTGACCCAGAGCACTGTCCCTCGGGAGGATGCAGGTGTTGGCTCTCACATAGCAGCCTGCGGGTGCTGCAGCGGTACTCGCGGGAGGGGGGGGGGCAGCAGACCCACAGAGCTGAGGCGGGGGCCCGCCGGAATTGCGCTGGGAATTTTCACTTCTTCTGAGCTCAGTCCATATTGCTCCATCGGAATGGTCCTTTGGCCCGGATGCTCAGTGTGGAACTAAGAGGATCAGCCTGAGACTTTCAGTTAACCCCTAATCCCTGCCAGGGGGCGTCCAGATGGCAGCATCTGGGCCAAAACTGCAGGGGGGGTGTTGCTTTGTTCTGCGGTGGACAGAGCTCCTAGGGTCTCCTGGAGAGGCAACCACGGCGACCCGGGAGGCCCCTGGGGGGCGCACGGGGTGCCCTCTGCAAGAACTCTGCCGACGCAGTCTGCCTTTGTGAGCTTTGGTGCCCTGACGTAGGAGCAGAGGGAATGCCTTTGAAACAGACACGTTTGTAAAGCTGTCCCCTCCCTGCCATCCTCTTCTACTGCCCCATGATCTCTAATCCCCAAATAATTGAGATGCAGCTTCACGGTAAATGCTGCCAAAGGGGCATCTCAGTTCTCATTTCGGTTGCTGGCATCCCAGCTGAGGAACGCCATGATTATTAATGAGCCAGCAGCCTTGGCAGATTTGAAAATGTACCAAAGCCATTTTCCAAGGAGATCTCACATTCTTTTTTTTTTTAATTTATTTTATTTAAATTCAATTAACATGTAGTGTATTCATCAGGTCAGTGATTCATCAGTTGCATATAACACCCGGTGCTCATCACATCACCTGCCCTCCTTAATGCCCATCCCCCAGTGACCCCTTCCCCCACCCCCCGCCCCTCCAACAGCCCTGTTTGTTTCCTAGAGTTAAGAGTCTCTTTTGGGGGGCGCCTGGGTGGCTCAGTCAGATAAGCGTCTGCCTTCGGCTCAGGTCATGGTCTCAGGGTCCTGGGATCGAGCCCCGCATCGGGCTCCCTGCTCAGCAGGAAGCCTGCTTCTGCCTCTCCCACTGCCCCTGCTGGTGTTCCCTCTCTCGCTGTGTGTCTCGCTGTCAAATAAATAAATAAAATCTAAAAAAAAAAAAAAGAGTCTCCCTCTCTGATTTCATCTTATTTTATTTTTCCCTCCCTTCCCCTATGATCTTCTGTTTTGTTTCTTAAAATTCCACATAAGAATTCACATTCTTACTTTCCTCAAAACTGCTCCGGCTTTTTAGGAGACCTAGAAATAGTGGCCCTGTTGCCAAATAAGGCCTCAGGTTAGGGGAGAGTTATCCTTGGTGAGCTGGCTCGAACAAAGACCTGTGGAGAGCCTGCCACGGAAGGGCCATGTGTTATGCTGGTACTGAAGTTTATGTGACAGTGGCAAGTTCTGGCCTAGAAAAGAGGTTAAAGACACTTGTTTAGAGTGTTACCAATGCCAGCCACTGTACCAGGCCCTACACATGTATTCCCACGTTGAACCCTCAAAATGTGGTCATTATGCAGGAGGTAGTGCCAGCTTCTGGTTGGGGGGGTTGCAGCTCCAAAAGCTGAAGTAACTTGCCCAACGCCCTGAAGTTACTATACATTTATTCGTGTATCCATCTATCACATAAAAATTGTATGGAGCTTCTACTGAGCCAGGCACTCGACGCATGAGGTTATCAAGATGAATCAGCTATGGCCCTGCCCTCACAGAGTTTATCATCTAGCTGGAGAGACAAATAAGCAGACAATCACAATAGAGCTTTGCAAGTACCGTGACTGGTAGGCGGACGGAATGCACGGGGGCGGTGGGTGTTGTGGGGACATAGGAGAAGTCAGTCTTGTGATCAAACCAGGCCAGCCCGACCCCAAATCCTATACTCTCCCAGCACAGAGAGAGACAGAGACGTCTGCTTTTCCGTCTCATTCCGTGCCCTATTTGTGACCCCCTGGGGTCTAATGTCTGCATCCTCTCGTCCCCTCTGTCTGCGGGAGGCAAGATGGAGAGTGTCGCTCACGGAAAATATCTCAGTATTAGAGATCCAGCCCAAACTTGATGATCTGGACAGCTTTCCTCATGGCCACCTGTCACCCTGCCTCCCCTAACCTGCTCTTCATCCTGAATTCTCAGCTTTTGCGCCACGACAGTCCACCCAGGGTGTGAAATTAGAAACGGCCACGTTCCCTCAGCCCCTCCGCCCCACTCACTCCCCACCTCCCACATCAACTGATTGGGGTTCCACTTCGAAATCCCACCCTTTGGTGGGTTCTTGTGGCCATTGCACCCCTGCCTGAAGTTGGACCTCCTCCTCCTCATCTGGGCAGTTACGTCTGAGTGATGGCCCAGCATCCACTTTCACCCACCACAACCCCAGTTCCACACTGCCACTGGCACTGCTTTCTGAAGAAGCAGTCTAGATCATGCCATTTTCAAGCTTCAATGTCCCTGATGACTTTATGCTGCACGTAGAATAAAATCTGGCTTTCTTGGCATGGTGTATCCGGTTCTTCATCGTCTAGCCTCATCTCATCTCTCCACCACCTGCCCCAGCCACACAGAATCTCTCCCTAGAGCTGAAGTGCATCTCTCTGCCCCTCCACATGCTTCACCCTCTGAGCCTGGGGTGAGACCATTCCCTACTTCTCAACCCAGGAAACTCCTACTCATCCCACAAAACCCAGCTCAAATAGTACCTCCTCTGTAGATGCACTTCTTTACTTCTCCAGAAGGTCTAGTCACGCCCTCCTCTGTGATCCTCCAGCCCCGCATTTACGCCTTTATCTTAGCGCTTGTTATAATATATTGGAATCATCCCTAGATATATTATGGTCCTCAGGGCCAAGGACTGTGTTTTATTTGTTATTCCCAACATCTAACCAGAGGTTCTGCTACATACGAAGTGTTCAATGAATGCTTCTGCTGTGTCACGGGATTTCCCATCAGTCCTTTTGTCTGTGTTTATTGCCAGAGGCCTTTGGTGCCCTGATATTCCCTCTTCAGTTAGGTAACAGGAAGCAAAGATCCCCAGCAGAGAGGGAAACCTGGGGCTCTCTCCTTTATCCTTGGTCATAATTGTCCAACTTCAAAATAAATCCTGTAACACACCTAGTCGCCAGGCTTATCATACTCTCAAAGGGTGTTTGATGTTTTCAGTTGTAGCACAAAAAAAAGAGTACTTGCAGAAGAAGTAGCTCCCATGCACCATTTGAGCGGTGGACAAGCAGCCCCAATCCAAGGGAAGGAAGCCTCGGCTCACCCGCTATTAAATGGCACCAGCCATTACTCAGGACAGGGAATGTTCCTGTTGCACAGAGTGCTGAGATACATTTCAGTGGGCTGATGTTCTGGAGGAAGACCCAGCAATATCAAGAGTGCCATTTATGGCTTAGAAACTATGCATTTTTAGATTTTGTTGTTGTTAAAGATTTTATTTTTAAGTAATCTCTACATCCAACGTAGGACTCAAACCCACAGCTCCCAGATCAAGAGTCACATGCTCCACCAACTGAGCCAGCCAGGCATCCTTGAATTTTAGATATTTATTTATTTATTATTTAAGTAATCTCTACACCCAGCATGTGGCTTAACTCATTACCCCGAGATCAAGAGTCGCACATGCTTCCAATTGAGCCAGCCAGACATGCTGCCCACCACCGAGTATTACAGCAGCTCACACCTGAGATACCAGGATGAGTCTACGCTGAGAACAATGAAACCAAGAAGTGAGGGGGGAAAAAAATGTTTTGACCCAGATCTAGATTGTTCTCCCACTAAAATACTTAGGCAGTGATAAGCACGGGTCTAAATGATTTGACTTTTCTAACAGTCTGGCTGAAAATCAAGGAGACAAAACGGGATAAAGCAGAAGCAGATGTTTTTCAAAATTCAAATTAGGAAAATTGAAAATGAATGAAATCCCACCTGAAATCAGCTAGAGACTTGGAGACCTGTTCCGCTCAAGCCTATTTAACACAATGCAATGCAAATTAAATACACTGCACATAAAATGCATCTGACCCTTCCTACCGAATTGTATGAATCCTGCATAAAATGGGCTTTCGGCCCGGTTGTCCCCACCATCAAGAAAAGGAGGGGGAGGATTGTTATAAATCTCATTATTTTCCTAATTAAATAACCCTGGCTTCAAATGGTTCAATTTGCATTTTAGGAAGGATTATTTGCTAATTGACACTGAATCAGAACAGGTGCTATTGTGTTCACAGCTTTTAAGCTGTTGGGATTTTTACATCTGGATGTCAAAGCTAATCAGAAGGCATTTTCTCTCTTTTCTATCTGTCTTCACTATCTGAAGCAGAGTTTAAAGCTTCTCAGGATATTTTGTAACTCATTAGTTTTTGGCATCCTCTATAACCATATTGGCCAATATGATTCATTCTTTCTTTGAGCACAGTTAGCTGTGAAAACAGATCTTAGAACAGACTCCCTCCACCCGCAAAGGATTACCGAAGGTAGGAAATGCAGGTGATTATCAGAGTTTGCCTTTGATACAGACATCCTGCTCTTCTGCTAACCCTTTGAACTAACTTTGATATGCAATAATTAAGAGGGATTCAACCCCTGGAGGAGAAGCCGCTGTGGCCCTGCCCCTTCTCTCCTTCTATTGAATCCTTGTTTTGAACTATTGATCAAACAGATTTAAAGGGATTTGTTGAAGCCTGTGTGCGGTAAGGAGGAAGGAAATGAAGGAGGAGGGGGGTGGAGAGAGATGAGGGGGCACATCTGGTATAAATAGTTTCACACACCTTACTGGGACGAAGATTTGCTTCTCCTTCAGGAAAAGCAGTTCCAGACGACCTCGAAGGGTTTCTGTTTTGCTCTCTTGGGGGTGTAGAGCAGCCCAGTTTGGAGAACGCGGAGAGGCGATTAAAGGATGGCAGTGGTGGTCTTGCTGGGGCTCAGCTGGTTCTGCGCCCCCCTGGGAGCTCTGGTTCTGGACTTCAACAACATCAAGAGCTCTGCCGACGTGCACGGGGCTCGGAAGGTAAAGTGCCACCAAGGGAGCAGGGGGCAGTTCACGGGGGCAAGGCTCACCGACGGGCAAGTTGGCAAGTGGACGCAGGGTTGATGTGACCCACTAGAGGAAAAACATCAAATAGGAATGGCACAAACACCAGCACTACATGTGGCTCAGCTTCTGGAGGTAGTAGAGAGACATCAGAAATCTCACCATCATCTGAAAGACACACATGGGAAGGCATTTTCTTCCGTTTTCACAAAGAGTACAAGAAAATGAAAGCCTGAGTTTTAAAAGTAGGACAGGTAGCATCTCGAACACAACCTTTGCAGCACATAGGTTTCGTCAGTGGAGATTTGATCTCCCCTTTGTGGGAGAAAACCAATTATACTGAAAAATGAAGGTGCCACCGAGGGTCTTTCGCTGCATGCAAAGTGCCACTATGACTTGGCTTCCTCCACCTTCCACTTTGGATTAGAAGTCCTCTTACATCTTGTTGGGTTCCCCAGCCCCGTGACAAGTTTTTCCTCGCAGGGTTCACAGTGCCTGTCTGACAAGGACTGCAGTCCCAGAAAATTCTGCCTCAAACCCCAAGATGAGAAGCCATTCTGTGCTATGTGTCGTGGGTTACGAAGGAGGTGCCAACGTCAGGCCATGTGCTGCCCTGGGACGCTCTGCGTGAACGGTAAGCTATCGTAAACCCTTGCAGCACAGCGCGGCTCCAAGAACAGTGGTTTTCCACTGAACACAGCATCTGAATCTCATAGGCTAGGATGTTCCAAGATAGGCACTCTCTGAAGGTCTCTTGGATTCGTGCCTGAAGGCATTTATGCAGCTGCCTTTTCTTAATGCAAAAAAATAGTTTATTTCCTGGCAATAATTTTTGTCAACTTAGAGATAATGATTTTAAAGGAAGGGTTCAAGATGGAATCTTTCAAATTCTTTCATTTTCACTTGGATTCCACTAATTGCTTAACTACTTTCCTTGCCATATGTGCATGTAAATATTTAGTGCATATGTCCCAGAAATCGTGAAAGTTATGTATAAACTGAAGGCAGGGGTACTGCCAAACTACGTAACAGTGTAATAATTAGCATGTCTGTGGTCGTAATCCCTGAAGGTAATAACTCTAACCACACCTGCTTGTCTCTCAGATGTTTGTACAACAATGGAAGATGCAGTGCCAATGTCGGAGAGGCAGATCGATGACCAAGATGATGTGCACACAAAAGGAACAACTGAGCATCCAATTCAGGAAAACAAACCCAAAAGGAAGCCAAATATTAAGAAATCACAAGGCAGTAAGGGTAAGAGAAGCATTATGAGCACTTTTGTTTTTTTTAAAGGAAGACTTTTCTTGGGGCGCCTGGATGGCTCAGTGAGTTAAGCATCTGCCTACAGTTCAGGTCATGATCTCATGGGTCCTGGGATCGAGCCCCTGCTCATTGGGAAGCCTGCTTCTCCCTCTCCCTCTGACCCTCCTCCTGCTCGTGCTCTCTCTCAAATAAATAAAACCCTAAAAAAAAAAAAAAAGAAGAAGAAGAAGAAGAACATGTCCTCCTCCTAGGCTATTAAGGATAGGCTGAACCTGACTTGATTCCTCCCCACTTCAGAAACACAGAGGGATTCTGTCCTGTTTCTAATCTCTCTCCATCCACAGCTAGGAAGATCATGTAGGGAGTAGCATAAGGCAGTCAGCCAGTCAAGAGGACAGGGGACTAGCCGTAATTATGAACTGGTTAGCAAAAAAATCTTTAAGTGAATTTTACACATACATGTTTGTAATTTAACAAATGGAGGTTTCCCCTTCTTGGTCTTCAGGATACAAAATAAAAGAGAAATGAAAGTAGATGCATTAGCTTCTTATTCTCAGACAAAATTCAAACTTCACTAAGATGAAGCTTTTTACAAAATTGTAGTCTCAAATTCCAATCTTGGACATAAAATAATTGGAATGTCTGAAGGCAGTGAATTGGCCAGTTTTTGTCTCCAGGTTAAGCAGCCCCTTTATAAGTCATGGTCTGTGTCAGTATAAATCCCATTTAATAAAACACTGATAAGGGATACTGATTTCATTCCTCAAGACTGGAAATCTCATCTTTCTTTGAAAATGTTTTAACTTTATAAAACAAATTCTATTAGGTAGGGCTAAAATTTCCATTTCATCTACTCTTGGCATAAGATCTAGCTCTGGGAGACCTGCATGCTGCTTTTATTTTTACTTTGTGGCCTTCAGTTCACCTTCACCCCAGCTTATAAGCCCCCTACATGCCACTTTCCCCTTTTATTGCAACAGCACATATGAATCTTGTTACAGGACAAGAGGGAGAAAGATGTCTTAGAACTTTTGACTGCGGAGCTGGACTTTGCTGTGCTCGTCATTTCTGGACTAAAATTTGTAAGCCAGTCCTCCTGGAGGGACAGGTGTGCTCTAGGAGAGGGCAGAAAGATACTGCTCAAGCTCCAGAAATCTTCCAGCGCTGTGACTGTGGTCCTGGACTATTATGTCGAAATCAAGTGACTGGCAACCGACAGCGCGCGCGGTTAAGAGTATGCCAAAAAATCTAAAAAGCTGTGAAGATTTCAAAATAAAGACAACTCCTTATTGTATTCAAACAGAAATCTCAGACATTAATTTAAAAATCTTTCCATAATATCTCTGTAAATAAAATCTTGTAGCAACTGGGATAGAGTGACCTAGAGCGCTATGAGGTGCTGCCTTGTGATGAATGAAAACTGGCTTTGGCTTTTTGTCTATTTCTGCAAAGCAGTGTGATTCCACAGAAAAGTTTAATTTGATCTAGTGACTCAATTAGTTCAAATAAATCTTTACATAATTTCTGGTGAAATTCTGGTAACTGACAATAGCTTGGGGGAAAAAAGTGATGGTCTGCAGTTAATTCTTATCTTACCAATGAAAATTATCACAGTAAATTAAAGAAAAAAAATTTTCCTTAAAATCCCTCGTTTATTTTCTTTCATTTCTTATAGGGGAAATGTCTCTTCACTACAAAATAATTTGGTTAATAAAGAAATAAAATTCAAAAGGTAGGATTTTACGTGCATTATTGTCCTCTGCAAGTTATAAAGCATTTGCACGTATTTTGTTTTCAACAGCTTTAATCATTTGATAACTTTTTA